GGTTGGATGGGGTTTGGAGCAGCCTGGGATAGTGGAAGGTGTTGACACCACTTGCTGTCAAATGATCCTGAAAATAATTTCATTCCATGTCTCCAAACCATCCCAGAAGTCCCACATTTGCCAGGAAGCAATGGGCTGGTTGGTGAGGTTTTGGGGTGGATGGCTGTGGGTGTATTTACCTGTCTGCAGGTGATTGCTGAAGCCAAGTGGCCACTTCTGCAGCCAAAATTCACAGCTCCCATCCCACCAGTGCAGCTCTGGGAGAATCCCCTGCTTCACACTATTAATAGTGTGCACGTGTGTGCCCCAAATATCCAGAGCTGCTGGAGAGCTGCAGGAACGGGGCGAGTTGGCAGGGGAGGGTTTGATCCAAGACACTGCAAATGTCTGGTGTCCCATGAGGAAACAAGAAAGGTCCCAAAGCCAGTGTTTTCTGCATAAGGGAGGGCTGGCAGCTGAGGGGGTTAAGGGGGCAGTGGCTGTGCAGGAGGTGATGGAGCAGGAGGGAGCAGCTCAGCCCTCTCCCCCACTGCTATCAGATTTCTCCTCCCGCAGCCCTGCTCAGCACGGGCAGACACAAATCCCTATTGACAGAAGTCCCCCGCAGACAGGGCCCTCTGCTGCAGAGCTGCTCCAGTCTGCAGTGCTGGAAACCTCTTTTAAATGACAACAGAGCAGAAGTGCTATGGGAAGATCTTGCTGTGTAGAGTTTTCAAGATTAGGGCAGGGAGAAAACAAAAGTACAGCCTTGTATTGACAAATATTGTCAGACATTTGAGGACTCTGTTTTCCAGTGCTGATTTGTGCAAACTCTTCCAGGGTATCAGGGAATGTTGGCATGGATAAACACTGACCACAGGAAATGGCTGTTCTCAGACATGGCTGATGGTATGGACAATTACAGGATCATGAAATGCATGGCTACAGACTAATGAGCATTTACATCCTAAGCATTAATCTTCACTCTCAATCATCAAAAAATAAAAACCCAAAGAACAATCTGCAGTGGTAGAGGCAGGATTATTAAAGGATTATTTGAGAAAGAGCAAGGAGAAGGCAGTATGTCATCAGAATTTGGGATCACTACTTTGATTTGCTGTTGAAATCTCAATGTATTTAGAGATCTCAAAGCCCAAAACAAAGCTTAATCTTCACTTAGGCACTACAGTTCCCTCCCTTATCATGTTATCTGAGTACATCACACTCTAATTATAGTTGTCTGAACAACACTTAGTGAGATTGGGAAGTACTAACCTTGCCAGAGAAGCCCTTGAACACAGAGCAGAACCAAGTCAGAAATGCTTTTTAGTTCCTAATTGCCAGCTAAGTATGCTGCAACCAGTGGAAAAAAATTGTTCTAACACCATCAACAGCACTTCAGAAAATTTACCTCTTCATTATCATTAATGCAGATCCTGAAGTCCTGGCTCAAAATTCAGAACAAAGTTTTTTGTTATTATGAGGAGAAAAAATGCATTCTAATATTTGTATTTCTAAAAGCATCATTAAAAACGTATCAGTAATCATTCAAAGAAAGAAGTAATACTTACAGCATCTCAGTGGGATATTATATCTCACTCTCAAGAGGTATCCAGAAGAGCTTCTCAATATTTTAGTATCTGTTAGGCAGTGATTGCAGTTTATTTATCTCTCTCTAGTGGGTACAGCAGTAGGAGTTAAATATTCCATCTTTGTCTCCCAAGGATATGAGGGACTGTATCCCCAAACTCAAGCAAGAAGGAAAATCTCTGTTCCCCATCCTCTCCTGGGTGGGAAATGGTTTTGTGTGCCATTGTGTGCCTCTGTGAGTGTGGACCTGTGGCCACGTTTGCCTGCCCATTTCTTCAGGGCAGCTCCTGAGAAGCCTTGGAGAAGAGCTTCAAGGAGCTCAGCCCTCGGCAGGTGCTTGCAGAATGATTGTTACTGGATTTAATTGAGCCTTTCCTTTTCTGCCACCTCTGCCATTCCATGACTTTTACTCTTTATGCATTGCTGTACATGCCAGGGCATGGAGATGAGTATCCCACCAAAGCCCAGCTTTGACTTGCTCCTATTTTTTACATATAAATACAACTCAGACTCTGCTGTCAGCTTGTAGAGCTGACCACTGCTTCAGTAGCTTCTCCAGCTAGTTTGAATTTTTGCCAAATCTGAATTTCAAAGTCCATCATCATGAAGAGGTATTGTTAGTTTTCTTAGCAAGCCTTTATTTCAGATACTTTGTGGATTGAAAGAGGCCTCAATACTGTCTAGATCACCAGAGTTCTTGATAACAACTTCAAGCCTCACTGAGAGTTTAATAAGCTGTTGCTGAATTGCATTGCACTTGTTAAGTTTATAGAAAAAAGTTATTCAGTCTGCTGCTGTTATTAGCTATGAAACATCACAGACACTTGAGAGAACCCTTAACCAATATCTCTGGTCTGAACTACATAAAAAGTACTGAGGAGAATATTTTGAATTCCTAGGCTTCAATACAGGTCCAAATTTCACAGTCATTTTCAATTTCTATAATAATTTAGCCAGATAAATAATGACCAATTAATAATGACCAATCTCATATTCCTAAAAACTGAAAATAAAAAGGCACTCTCAAGTTCATCCAGATTTTTTTTTTTTGGTGGGGGGACAGGTGATTAACCTGTTTTTTACCTCTGCTAGTCTTGCTAATTCTCTTCCATGTGAGAGGCTCCAAATAGAAGAGCCAGGAAATGAAGGTCTCATCAGTGCTGTCCTGCTGGTGCATTCCAACCCTGCTGGGGAAGGAATGGCTTCATGGCCTCTGTGAAAGTTCTGCTGAGGGGCCCATTTCACTCAGCAGTTTAATTATGTTGAGCCATTCCACAGAGCCCAAACCCCTCCATCAGTCCATCAGTGCTGCAACACAAGAGGCTTGGGGAATGTTTCAGTCTTGCAGACTCCTCCTCATCTGTTGAGTGAGTTTCTGGAGGGAGGTGTTTGTTTGGGCTGTTGCCATGTCCACACTCTGGGAACGTGCAAGAGGAGCCTGGGGTGGGGACACTGAGCTCCCTCCTTCAGGCATCTCCCTGTCTGCCCTGCAGCTCAGTCACCTGCCATACTTCTGCTTTTATATCAGCTCTGGATAAATTCAGCCAACTACCTTAACCTTTACTGGAGGTTGTTATTGGAGGAAGTTTGTTATATATTTATTTTATTATTGGAGGAAAATTATTTAGATTTATTGGAGAGCCACAGAATCATGGAATGGTTTGGGTTCAAAGGGATCTTAAAGCTCACCCAGTTCCACCCATGCCTTCCACTATTCAAGGCTGCCACATCAAACCTGGCCTTGGACATTTCCAGGGATGGGGCAGCCGCAGTTTCTCTGAGCACAGGGAGAAATTTCACCCTTTATCTCCTCTAACCTTGCCTGGTCTCAGTGTGAGGACACAGAGTACAACACCTACAGACAGACAAGGTGTGCAGACTGAGAGGTGGCCCCACCCATACACACACAAGCACAGTCATTGAGAAGCCTATTTCCATGGGAAATTAGGATGGGAAAATTATTTAGATTTTTTTTTCCCTTAATAAATAGAGAGGATAAAAATCACACTCTGAATGTATTTCCTGTGAATTGCACACCTTAAAGGAGAGACTTGATGAAATGACCATCCAGTCTCAGAGGCTCTGTAATGCTGGGGATGATTGTGTGAACTGCCATGAAAATAAACACTGGCATCTTTAAAATCTGAGTTTTGCATTGCCTTGAGGAGCAGCAGCCCCTGTGGTGGCCAGCACAGGATGCACAGGCTCAGCAGGAGCAGGCCCAGCTCTCCCCACCTGGCAGCCAGGACAGGTGTGACACTTCCAGATGTGACATGAGCCACTTGCATCTTGTTCCCAGCCTTTGAAGTGCTGTGCAGAGAAAGCCTGAGCTGCTGCTGCAATTAGAGCTGATACATCATTTACTGGAAGAATTTAATGCGCTGTAGTAGCAAACCTGCAGTTGACACTCACAGGGTGCAATTTAAATCCTCTGGATTAGTAATTCTTTTGAGATTTTTGTAATCATTGGTAATAGGTAGTGAAATAAATCCACATTTATATCCTACAGACTGCAGCTGTGCTTCTGTTAAAGTAGTATTAAGTGATGGGTTTTAAATCCTTCTGCCAGCTCGAGCTGTAAGCACTGAGGCTCCTGTGCAGGGATCACTCAGCCTGGGTGATGTGTTCCCGAGCAGGAGAGCTCTGGTTAATGAATAATGAAAGCACCACGGCACAATCACAGCTCAGGGCTCACTCCTGCAGGAAGCTCTCTGGGGAGAGCTCCCCGTGCAGCTCCCTGTGCCACAGCCACCCAGCTGCAGCTCACACTGTGGGTAACTGTGACAGCAAAGAGCACAAAATGCTCAGGGACAGCTTCACCTACATGGACAAAGTGCTGAGGTGTCCATTGGAGCAAGGGGTTTGTCCGGCCAGCTCTGGTGCTGTCCCTCCAGGGATCAGGAGTGCACCAGGAGTGCATGCTGTGCCCTGACTTTACTCCCAGTTAGCTAAACAAATATGCCATTAAAAGCTGAGCCAATCTTGAGTGGGACATAAGGGCTTCAACTGCAGCAGGAAGAGATTTATGGACTTGTTTTTGCAGCCTAGAGAGTAATTGAAGAGGCCTCAGACAATTCAGCATTTACTGGCACTTCACTGGGGTGAGATGGGAAGGGTGATGGGAGTGAGACTGGCACTGGGAGCCCCAGCCATGGAGCAGGGACCCAGCCTGACAGCCACTCTGGGAACAAAAAGAAGCTTTGCAAACTCAGTATGCTTGTAAGATAAGCACAGTGCTGATAAAGTGAAGCACTTAGAGATTAAAAATCTCAGGAGGACGATAGAAGTGGCTGAAGGAAAGAGCCCAGGAATCCTGGCTGTCCCTTCATTCAGCCAATCTGCCCAAAATTCATTACTTCAGAGATGGTTAAAAAAAGCCCATTTGCCTGGTTGTGTTCCTTATGGGTTCTGTTTGCTTTGTTTCCACCCAGGAATCTACAAAGGACATTGTTTCCGGATCAACCACTTCCCTGAGGACAATGACTACGACCACGACAGCTCCGAGTACCTTCTCCGTAAGTGAGCACTGACACCTCACACACAGATGGGGCTTCCCTGGGCTTCTCTTCTGCACAGAGCAACCCCAGTTTTACTCACTGCCAGACTGGTCCAAACTGGGCTGCACAGCCCAGTGGTGCCACGTGTCCAGTTCATGCAGCAGCTGACACCCTTGGGGAGCCCCACTTCATGGTCATTGAACCATGGAATGGTTTGTGTTGGAAGGGACCTTAAAGACCATCTGGTTCCAGCCCTCTTGCCATGGGCTTTCAAGGATTTTTTCCAAGGGTTTCCTTCAGCCAGGGGAATGCTCACAATTTTGGTGCTGACTGTCTAAACATCATATGACAAATTTTCAAATGAAAACTACAGATTGGCAGATTGGCAGGGATCTTTTACAGAGAGAGTATTTATAGGGTTAGTGTAACAAAACAGGTTTGAGGAGTGGGTTCCAGCCCATTAGGAAGTTTAAGCCAAATGCTTAAACCCAACCCTTGCTCAAGCCTCAGCCTTTGCAGCTGGTGAGCCACATCCCCCTACAGTGAAATTACTGCAGTGTAGGAAGGAAGCTGAAATTTCTGCAGGTCACAGCAAAATCCCAGCATGAGCAGGGGCCATGGCTTCCCTGCCTGGCCAGCTAGCCACTGCTGCTCCATTCTGGCATGTAATTCCCCCCACCCACCAACCTGGTGCTTGGGATCAGGGCAGTTGTTCCATCCCCTCCACGTGACCATTCTCTCCCCTGATGGCAAGTCTTGGAACCCAACCATGCAAAGTTGGAGTTAGATTCTCCTTCCCCAGAGGACTCCTTGTCTTGTTCCTCGTGAACAAAAGAGCTGAGCAGCCAAGCTGAAAGCAGTGCCCTTTACCAGGGAGAGGAAGTGCAGCTCACAAGGTGTGGGGAAATCAGGGAGCACAGAACAGTGCTGCTGGCAAAGCAGAGAACTCCTCAATTACAATATTAATTACCTCAAACACCACTTAGAGAACCACTCTGCCCTTCTGATCACTTCTGGGCAACAACTTCTTGTTGCTAAGACATGAAGAAAGAAAAAAAATCTCCAAAAAGTTTGCCTCACCAGAAAACCCAGATGTTTTTTTCCTCTTTGCTCTTGTCGATTTAGATCAGTCATAGCACCCGGGTGACACGATTTCAGAGCTCAGGCAGAGGCAGAGTGTGAGCACAGCTGCATTTATCTTTCATAAAAAGCCTTGGAACTAATGTTAAATTGATGCCAAGTCAGCTTTAGGAAACAAACATCATTAGTAAAAGGAAAGAGGAATTAAGTAGCATCATGATAAAAGCATGTTATGCCTTCTTTATATGGAGAAAAGTGAGAACTGGGAAAAACAGTCTCCAGCTCCACGTTAAGCTACGAGACTGGTAAATTGTTTGTAAGTGTGCCTGTGACGGGTGTTCCTAAAAGCTGTTTGCAAAAGTGACTAAGTACAGATCTTAAAAACAAGTTGGTCCAACCCTTTATGTCTTCTGCAAAATCAGTCTCTGGTGTCTCCCCCGCAGAGCAGAGCTCACCTCACAGAGTCTGCACAGAGACAAGGCTCCTTGGCTTTAACTTTCATAAGAAAACTGCAGTTTCCCATGCACAGAGTTGATTTAGAGATTACTGAAAGGTAACGTGTCTAAATCCAGAGGAGATGAGCTCATACCTATATGTAATAGGGACCAAATCATTGTCTAAGACAGGAGGATATTTGCATCCTGTTTCACAGGGACGTGAGAGCTTCTGTCCTGGTTTTGCCCTCTGCAACACTTTTGCAGTCTGCTGGCTCCATTCTCCACTATTTCTGGCCATTTCTTGGCACAGTTTCTCAGAGGGACATGTTGGGACTAATACTTATTTATCCTGCTTGGCTTAGGCAAAGGCACCCACACTCATGTGTTTTGTGCTCCGGAAGCAGCAGCGTGAGGGGTCTCAGCCTCTTCCACAGCCCCCAGTTTAATTTGGGCTTCAGAGAAATGCAAACATTGTAGTGCTAGCAGGATCAAGCCCTGGTTCAAAACCCCATGGAAATCAGTGACAAAAATGACTGATTTTGGGAGACTTTGGTCTAGAGAGTGGGTAGAGGCAAGAGTTGGATTTTGCCCTTTGGTGTTCAAGCTGCTCCCTACAAAACCAAGCAAACGACGGCATGGGACAAGCTGAGACGTGCAGAGGAGCTCAGACAAGACCCTTCCTATTGAACCTTCCCTGTGGCAACACACTCCCATCTGTGTGTCTAAAAAAATCCCCCTCACATGCCTGAGCAGGGCCCCAGTGAGCAGCAATTGTCCCAGTGCCAGCACGGACCCCGGGCTGCCACCGCATCCCCAGCGGCAAACGTGCCCCGGTTCCCTCTCTCCTGCTTCCCTGTCCCTGCTTCCCTCTCTCCTGCTTCCCTGTCCCTGCTTCCCTGTCCCTGCTTCCCTCTCTCCTGCTTCCCTGTCCCTGCATCCCTGTCCCTGCTTCCCTCTCTCCTGCTTCCCTCTCTCCTGCTTCCCTCTCTCCTGCTTCCCTCTCTCCTTCTTTCCTGTCCCTGCTTCCCTGTCCCTGCATCCCTGTCCCTGCTTCCCTCTCTCCTGCTTTCCTGTCTCCTGTTTCCCTCTCTCCTTCTTCCCTCTCTCCTGCTTTCCTGTCTCCTGTTTCCCTCTCTCCTGTTTCCTTCTCTCCTGCTTCCCTCTCTCCTGCTTCCCTGTCCCTGCTTCCCTGTCCCTGCTTCCCTCTCTCCTGCTTCCCTCTCTCCTGCTTCCCTCTCTCCTGCTTCCCTTTCTCCTACTTCCTTCCTCTCCTGCTTCCCAGTCTCCTTCTTCCCTCTCTCCTGCTTCCCTCCTCTCCTTCTTCCCTCTCTCCTGCTTCCCTGTCCCTGCTTCCCTGTCACCTCCACCCTGTCCCTGCTTCCCTGTCTCCTGTTTCCCTGCTCTCCCTGCTCTCTCTGGGCACACCAAACCCGAGCTGTTCGCATCCAGCACGGATCCACCGGCGCCTCTCCCTTTGCAGGGGGGGATCGATCTCATCCTCGCTGTGCGCTGGGGATGTCGGGGCTCTGCTGCTCTGAGCAGGGGGACCCCGCTTCGGGGCCATCTCTGCACGTTCGTGCCCTTCCTCCCCGCATGTCAGAGCATCCTCTTTCCACAGCCATTCCCTCGGCTCCTGCCTTTGCGGGGATTAAAAGCCCGAGCCGAGCAGGGTTTGCAGCCCCATGGGGAGGAGCAGCGCCGCGGCTCCACCGGAGGAGGTGTCACCACACATAGCGGTGCACAGCAGGCGATGCAAAGCGACAGGACGGTAAACAAGGGGGGGAGAAAAGCCAGGGAGAAAGCAAAAACCAGATTGCCTTAATGTTTTTTGATGTGCTGTCACTTTATTACCAGTATCAGGAGACATATGTAAATTCTACGTGGTACCTTATGAGCTTCCTTTGAAATTTCAGAGCTAAAAGCACACATTGTAAGAAAAAATATACTGTGGAATTTTCCAGGAAGAGAACACTGTGTGTTTTGTTTCTCTTTGCATTAATTACTTACTATAGAAAAATTATCTCTGAAATTTATTGGTAGAAATAGAACAAATAGAACAATCCATCCCCTTTATTTGGTGCATCTAACAAGTTCCTTCCAATGATATCACTGAAGCATTTTGGGAAAGCTCTTTGATTTGACTGAAATCATTATAAACAGCATGACCATAAAGCGCAGGAAATAATATTCAGAAAGGGTGGGCCAGAGGCGATTTTAAGCCTTTAGCCAGGGCACAAAAACAGACAGACAGAGATTTGAGGTGCCTTAAAGTCCAGCAGCAGAGACTGAGTTTGAATCTTTTTCTAACAACTGACTGAAAAAACTGACCCAAAAGCCAAAGTGCTGTTAATTCACAGCACCCACGTGGGGATACACCCAGGCCAAGGGAACAGGCTCTCACCTCTCAGCAGGCTTTGCCCAGAGCCCTTCCACCCACTCACTTCAGTGGGGTTTGGCAGTTCCTGCGGGACGCTGCCTGAATAGCAATGCGCCCGCCTGGCCCGGCTTCAGATCCGGCTGGAAAATGCCCCAGCTGTGAAGGACACGTGCAGCGACGCTGCCAGTTTGGGAAAGGATGGACTTTTCTCGCTCTTACAGATCGATACAGGCAGAAGCTTCCCAGGCAGGCGCTGTCTTTGTCTTTCTGGGTTTGTGTCCGGACCGTCCCCGCCAGCCCCGGGGCCGTGCAGGGCTCCGTGAGCGATGCCGGTGCGGAACCCCCATCCCCGTCCCTCCGCAGCCACTGGAGCTCTGCCACCAGTTACCAGGGGAATCGTCAGGAAGCGATTCAGCGAGTCGGGAACGCCAGGGCCATGGGCAGCGGAACGAGAAAGCAGCAGCTGGAACATCTGCCCGTTCCTGCCGGGGAGCGGGCGCCGCTCCCAGCGCGGCAGCCAGGAGGATGCGCCCGGAGGGAGCGCGGCGCTCCCGGCCCCGCTCGGCCCAGATGGCGCTGGCTCCTCTCGGCTCACCCGGCCCTGCCGTGCCGTGGCCTCCCAGCCTGCTGAGGGGTTCCGTGCCGCTGTGACAGCAGCTTCTGACCCTCCCTCGCCTTGGGATGCCCCAGCCTGGCGCCCCTCGCTCTGCCGGGCTCCCCTCCGTGCTCTCGCCTGTCCCCGGCTTCAGGGTGATCCCATTTTCCACAGCAGTGTTCAGCACCTTATCTCCCCTTCTTCAAAAAATAAATCCTCTCTCTACAGCAATAGAGTCACTCTGCCTTTCAGGAACCCCTGGCAGCTTTTACCCCTTTGGTTTTTACTCTCTTCTCATGCTTGTTTATTTTTTCTCAGCCCTTTTGTTCCCTCCCTGCCGCTTCCCTGTCGATTGCTGCTCTGTCTTGTTGTGACCCGACTTTGAAAGCTGGCTTGAAGTGGTGTTTTAATATTTTTGTGGGGGATTTTATACGCTGATGAATGGACTGAAGCATGCAGAATTTTAAATGACTACTTTGCTGTCAGGGAACTAAACACAAACATCTAAAACACACTTGTTAAAATTCCTGCCTTAGAAATCTGAAAGGTTTCGATGTCCTTAATATCCACTAAAAGAAAAAGGGGTTATTAGCTGTGCTTGCTGGCAACATGGATGCTGCTGACTTCAAGAGCCGTAATTTGCTCACCTTGTGTGTGCACCACGGAACAGATCCGTCTGCTCCAGCTGTCCCAAACGTTGTAGGGTTCACAGCCAGCTCATGAATTTTTCACTGCTGCTCCCTGCATGATGCTGGGTCTTACTGTCACTTACCTCATGCTTTGCTAGAAATATTCTGCACACGGTGGCATCAGAAAATGCCAATAATGCTGGACTTCCTGGGAGAAAGCTCAAAAGATTGAAGCCACTCAGTTGAGAGTCTCTGTCACACTGGCCACCTCATGGCTCCCTTGTCCCAAAAACATGCCCAGAAGTGGAGAATCAGTGATAATTCTAGGAAAAAGGAATAAAAAATGATAATAAGTTAGATATTGGGAAAAATTTCTTTGCTGAAGGGGTTATGAAACACTGGAACAGGCATCCCTGAGTATGTTCAAAAAATGTGTGGATGTGGCTGGCACTCAAGGATATGGTTTAGTGGAGGAGCTGGTTTCACTGTTGGATTTGATGATCTTAAAGGTCTTTTTCAACCTTAACCATCCTCTGGTTCTATTAAATCATTCTTCTTAACAATTTTAGGGAAAAAAACAGGGCTTTTGAGACTCTAATCTCCACACTTGCACCCGAGGAGGCACCCAAAATGATTGCTCTGTCCTCCCTTCCTACCTGTGTCCCTGCAGGCATCGTCCGTGCCTCCAGCGTGTTCCCCATCCTAAGCACAATTTTGCTGTTGCTGGGAGGACTCTGTGTCGGAGCAGGAAGGATTTACAACAGCAAAAACAACATTATTCTCAGCGCTGGGATTCTCTTTGTTGCAGCAGGTATGTTCTGTTTAAATTGAGTTCTTAAGAAGTGCTGCTGTTTTCAGCTGGAAAAGACTCTGGAAAAGCTCCTTGGCAGTGCTTTCCCTGCATCCCTTTCCTGGGCTGAGGGCATTAACAGCACCACAGCAGGCAAATTCCTCAGACAAATTCCTCAAATTATGCTCTTGAAGCCCCACAATAAGTATATTCTAGAAAAGCTTTTGGTTTTCCTGCAGAAAGAAGTGAAATTCAGTAACAAGCATGTTTTACACTATTTAAAATGTATTAAACATTAGATGAATCAGGCATCTCTTATACCTAGGGCCCTTTTTTCTTAAATATGAAGGCAGAAAACATTCACCTCTGATGGGTGAGCCCGTTTTTCACACTAGAAACATCTGAAAGAGTCAGCCCCATTGTTAATAGCTCTCCCTGCAGCCTGGATTAAGCATGCAGCATTTAGATGAAAATTCAGCAAGGTGGAAGAGAGCTTATTTTGATCAAGGTGAACAGCCATAGCCCTGAGCTCCAAATGTTAGAATCCCACTCACAATATTAGTGAGCTCCCACAAGCTGCTGCTTTTCCATTGTGGCAATGAAGAGATTGGGAAAAGTCCTGCTGAGTATTTTGGGATCCACGTGAGCACATGTGATCCATATGTTATCTATTGGTTGTCTTTCAGGAATAACTGAATCCTTGAGATAAATGTAAGGGTAAATAAATGCAATAAAATTTCATGTCCCAGTCTTAGAACCATTCAGGTCCAGAAAGTAACGTGGCTTGAATTTTATCTCCCCAGCCACATAAACACTGATTTATGTTTTTCTTCCTCCAGGTCTCAGTAATATCATAGGGATCATTGTCTACATATCGAGCAATGCAGGTGACCCAAGTGACAAGCGAGATGAGGACAAAAAGAACCATTACAACTATGGCTGGTCTTTTTATTTTGGAGCCTTGTCTTTTATCGTGGCCGAAACCATAGGTGTTCTGGCTGTGAACATTTATATTGAGAAGAACAAAGAGCTGAGGTTTAAGACCAAGAGGGAATTCCTTAAGACTTCTTCCAGTTCTCCTTATGCCAGGATGCCAAGCTATAGGTACAGGAGGCGGAGGTCCAGATCCAGCTCCCGCTCCACGGAGCCTTCTCCATCCAGGGACATTTCTCCAGTTGGCATGAAGATAGCAGGCACCATCCCCATGAACGAAATTTCCATGTACACCCTTTCCAGGGAGCCTTTGAAGGTTACCACGGCTGCCAGCTACAATGCAGACCAAGAAGCCAGTTTCCTGCAGGTCCACAACTTCCTCCAGAAGGAGTTTAAGGAAGGACTCCACGTCAACATGGTCAACAGGAGAACGACGCCAGTCTGAAGCACCTTCCTTCCTCGTGCTTTTTGAAGAGATGCCCAAACAGAATGGATCTGTCAGGAGTGATGTTAAAATACCCTCTCACCTCTTAATTGTGGCATGTGTTGAGGTAGCAAGTGGAGATCCTCTGGACCAACATAAAGATATTTACACGCTCGTAGCTTTTTTTGAAGCTATTTGGAGTTTGTTTATTTCTGTTCTTGGTGTCACAAGATGAAGGCAGTTCATGTTCCTGCACTTTTGTAGTGTCTACACAGTCTTGGAGAAACTGCAAAGGACTGGCCACCAGTGTGTTTTAAAGGATTACAGAAAATTTGTTGTACTTTTTTTTTTCTAATATTGAGATCCCTTAATATAAACTTGCAAATATAATTTATAACCAAGCCCAAGGATGAAAATGAGCTACTCAATCAAGTGAGCCACTTTCCTTCGACACGGCGTAAGCTTTGCCTCTTTCAAAATAAAATAAGAAAAAAGAAAAAAAAAAGAAAATATTTTTGAAGGCAACACTTTCTAAAACTGACCTGTGCCACTGAAACCGTAGAGCACCCACGTACTGAGCATTACAGACTCTCCGATGGGGTGGGAAGGGGGTCTCCCATTCCTGGGGTAAGGCATCCCTTGGGGCAACACAGGCTGAGGAGCAGAGGGTGGGTGCGTCTTGAAACACCTGGAAAGGGAAACAGATTAAAGCAGGTGGGACTTGAGCCTATTTGCAAGCATCATTTCTTGCCTAACATTTAGAAAACTTGAATTCTCATTTCGACGAGCCCTAGTGCCTGATCCGGCAAGGTGCTGAGTGCTGGCTGTCAGGAGCCCCTGGAGATTTGCCCGAGCGTGGCGGGAGCAGGGCAGAGCCGCCGCCGCCGATTCCCCGATTCCCTTACGCTTCACAAGTGCAACACTAACGCTACTGGAAACAGAGATCTCTGAGCAACCAGGAGAGAATGGGAAACAGAGATCTCTGAGCAACCAGGAGAGAATGGGAAACAGAGATCTCTGGGCAACCAGGAGAGAATGGGAAACAGAGATCTCTGGGCAACCAGGAGAGAATGGGAAACAGAGATCTCTGAGCCACCAGGAGAGAACCAGAAACGGAGATCTCTGAGCAACCAGGAGAGAATGGGAAATGGAGATCTCTGAGTAACCAGGAGAGAATGGGAAATGGAGATCTCTGAGCAACCAGGAGAGAATGGGAAATGGAGATCTCTGAGCAACCAGGAGAGAATGGGAAATGGAGATCTCTGAGCAACCAGACAAGAACGCGCCCGGACTCGCGAACCTTCCTGCAGCAACGGGAGCCGAGTGTCAGCAGAGCAGATGACAACTTTGTATTTTTTAAAACAGAACAAAAAAAAAAAAAAAAGAAAAAAAGAAAAAAAATCACTGTTTATGAGATATTTATTAAACTCTTTTTATTATGAATTAAGTGCCGCATGGTGCAAGGTATAGTTGCTTTTAGATGGAAATGGTGGTTCGACCTAATTTAATTTATTTTGTAATGATGCATCTACTTACGTGCAGAGAGCCCAGAGCAAACTCTATGCATCACGTAAGGAGGGAACTAATTTGTACCCTTTGCTTCTGTCTGTTTCTAAAAGAGTCTGAATATTATTTTCTTTTCTTATAAATTCCTGCTTTCAGTTTTTATACTTAGGCTTGGATCTCAAAGCTCGATGGCCTGACTCAAAGGTAATTTAATTTAATGGTACTCATGCTGATTTTAGTGACCACTCGACCAAGCCATATGAGAATGAGGTGCCCGATTCCCCTCAGATGAATTAGATGCAATGAGAGAGGAGCATCTAATTCCTGTAGATTCCTTTGAATATCCCCATCATCTTTGCCCACAAAATCTTTGCTAACAGAACACTACACAAGAAAAAAATCCATAATTTGGAAAGTTTGGGTCACTGGTAGTGGGAGATCTCAGCCAAACTGTTAAAACCTCTTTAGTCTTAATTTATCCTATGATGGCCCCAGGGCCAGAGACTCAGTGGTGGTTTGGATACGAAGCTTTCAGCTAGTGGAACCAAGTCCTCCAGGGAAATCCCGGAGCAGCTGCCTTAACATCCCAAAAAGGAAGTTGAACCCCTCTCCCCCCAGAGGAACCCACTCAAGCCTCTCTCCTTGCAAGAACCAAGACACAATTCTCAATTTTAAGCGAGAGTCTTCCCCTAGTCACTGTTAAGCTCTGCCTGGCCCTCAGCCTGGCACAGCCACATCGTTATTTTGGCAGGGGTGGGTTGGAGCCTTCATCCCTGCTCATTAAGAGTTTCCATTCAGGTTAAAACTCCGCTGGGATCCTTTTTTCAAACCTCTGAACTCTGAGAGCTAAAGCGAATGGAGCGATGGGAATGATTTAAAACTAGAAAATGTTGTGCTACTTTCTGTATCAACACACTATGGAGAAAGATGTTACACAAGCTTTTTAAAAAAAATTCAAACAGAGGCAGAAAAGAAAACTTTTTTACCTACTTTTCGGCTAGGACAACATAAAAGGGTTCTAAAATTATTAAAGTTCTTGATGAAAGGTTTTTTTTACAAGAATCTTTATGCTTTCAAACAATAAATTATTTCCTACTTTTTGAGACTTCGTAATATTAAAATACTTTGATTAGCTATGATAGAAGTAGAAGTTTGCAATGAAAAAAAAACCAACCTTCTGTCTCATTAGTGTGTCATACTAAGTGCTAATTAATTTACATCTAATTATAGTCAATGTATTTTTCAAGTGCAATTTCCCAGAACTATTTGTTTCCCACTGTGTTAAAAAACTAATAGTTAGAACTAAGTCCTCATCCGTGTTTCCTGTAATTAAGAATAAAACCATTCCCTTTCAAACCAGGAGTTAGATATAGGCTGTTTCTCTAATCTCATGTACCTTGAACTGGAAGTGGACAGTGTCAGGTTTGCTCGCGCGTGGGTTTTGTTCTTTTAGTCGTCGTTCTCCAGTGAATGTGCTTCAAACCACCCATCTGATTCCAGACAAAGTCCAAGGCTTTTCTTCAGCCCAGCTCAGACCTGCAGAGGCACATGCAGTATTTTTGGCAGAAAAAGTCTTGCTGAGTGTTTTGGGATGTTGCTCTTTGCCAGAGCCTTTGCCAGAGCCCGGGTCAGGGCTGGGTCCAGCAGCTCTCCAGGAGTGATGCCCTGTTTTGGTCCAAGCTGGAGCATCTGCTCCTTCTCCAGCAGGCAGCTTCAAGAAATGGAGCTGGAGGAGGGATCATGAGATGTTCATGGGGTCTGGACAGGGAACAAAGTCATGTGGACATAACAGGGACCAGAGCTTTTGTCCTGTGAGACAACAAGGGCTGCGACTGAAAACTCAGCAGTTAAGTTGCAGTGCAGCAAATTGTTCAACCAAAGCCAAAACCAAAAAAAATTCATTTGGCAATTCCAGAAAACAAACAAACAAACAAATGCCAACAAAACCACCAAAAACTCAAAACTTCAGTCCTTTCCTATGAAAAACTTTGATTCTGACAAAACTGAAAAATTTGCAGCATTCCTGCCCATGAGCAGTCTTGCTCCATGGTTGATGTGTCTGAACAGAGTCAGATTGTGCTCAGCCTTTGAAACCACCCAGTGATAGTTTAAAAAAATCATCTGTTCTTCCACATCTTTCTGGTTTCCCTGGACAGCATCTAACAAATGAGCCCCATTTCCCAGCAAGGCCTGCAGATACCATAAAACCATATCATTAACAATTCTCAGTCTTTTGGTATATAATATACTGTAACAACAGAACTAAAAAAAAAAAAAAAAATGCTATTGGATCAGATTTGATTTTCCAAGAAACAAAATTTCAGGTATACCATGAGGTCTCTCTTCCTTGTTTCTCATACACAATAGAAGTAAAAGGAGAAATCACTTCAGCTGCCCAGACATCTAACAATAAACTATTTTTTCTGTTTCTTTTTCTCTCTGTATGGATCACATATCCACAAGGGCTAATATATCATGTCCCTTGAGGCTACATTTCTGTCTGCAGTTCTAAAGTGTTATTTCCACTGTGCTTCAGTTCTACTGGTATAATCACAACCGTGTATAATGTACTTAATCCTTACTTTTTAAATAAACCATTTTAAATGTATTTGGTTTTGTGTGGAGAAAGGAATATAGATTTTTAATTTCCAAATTCTCTGAGCTGAGATTTCAGGTTATTTTTTTCATGTTTTTCGCTGTTTGATTGCAGCTGGCCATGTTACTGGGCACCAGTATTTCAGAGGAGATAAAATTATTCTTGTGGTCCCAGAGATCACAAAATCTCCAAGATAAGCTATCTTCACAATATTTTCAGTTATTTGGTTGGAAATTAAGAAAAACGTTCTCATTTCCAGTTTAAACCTGTCCCATATGAAACACACTGTGGTCTCAGTGCCCAGTCTGAGCCTGGTGTGGTGGCCAGAAGCCACTGCAAACTACCCTTGAGGAAAACAACCCAGAGTGTTCTGAAGTACCTCCCTGAGCCTGAGCTTTCCTCCAGCTTTTGAGCTTTCTTATGAACTCACCAGGAGCCTCCTCCTGTCCCTGCTCTTTCCCATCCTGGCAGAAGGGAGGCTGGCCCCACGTGCTGCAGCTCCACACAGCCCCGCTCTGATCACACGAGCGGTGCCAAGCACGGGTCAGCAGCTGAGCAGCCTCTCCCCAGCCCAGACAGCCCCAGCCACCCCCAAATCACAGACAGGACTCCTTCTTCAAACACTTCTTTCAACTTCACCTCCAGACTGTCTCCAAGGATGAGGCCTGGCTGCCTGGCTCTGCCCACCTCTCCCAGGCTCACCAGGAACTGGCACGTCTGGAGGCAGGCACAGGATTCATCCTCTCAAACGCCTCTGACATGAGGTAGTGAAGTCATTTAAAGCTCAGGCTCAAAGCGGCTTCCCTTTGAAATAAAGAAAGGTTTTTCCCACATTTATGAGCAAGTCTGTGGGTAAATGCTGACCCCAAGAGCTGTGGCTGCCCTGCTGTGAACAGGGTGTTGGGAGAAGTGATGCTTGAGGAGGGCGGAAGCAGGGACAGGCTTTGGAAAGTGGGAAAAAGAGGATGTGGCATTTCCTTGGAATGAGAGAACCAACAGACACGGGCAGTGCCTGTTTCCAAAGGGAAAGGAGAGGCTGAAAGGAGAGCCCTGCTCAGCTTTCACAGGACCAGGATCACTTTCCTGGCACTGCCCACGGTATTTTGGGAGCTCGGAGCCCTGGGTCACTCCCAGGGGCAGCAGGGATGGCAGCTACACACAGCAGGGTGGGAGTCTGCTGAAAAATAAAACAGGCAGCCAAAACTCACACATTCAGCTCTGGTGTTCCATGATTGTCCCCCAGAATCAGGGAGCTTTCAGAGGTGCTTTTGGTGGCATTCCCAGGTGTTGGTTGTGCAGACCCCACCCCGATCCCAGTGCTCTCACCACTCTGGGGCAATGCAGGCTGGGGAGCCCAAAGAGTACTGAGGACACCCTGCTTGAAGAAGGCTCCTTGCTGAACTCCCATTTGAGCTGGGAGCAGAGCAGGGGCTGCCTTCCCCTCTCTGGGTTATTCTGACTGGGATGGGTTTTTGCAGAGCAATGCTCTGCAAGCAGGGAGCCACAGAGTGAGGTTAATCTGCTTGTGGTAAATGCTGAGGCTGGTCTGGAAGGAATACAGGAGAGTGCAAGTGCTGGGGAGCAGAGCCAAGTCACCACCTCTGCCAGGGAAAAAACCAACACAGTAACTGGGCTTCAGATGCCTCCTCTGGCATTTTCTCCAGAAGAGAAACAGAATTGTGTCCCTCACTTGCTGCTCCTAAAGTGCAACTAATTGCAGCCCTCCCTGCTTTCCAACTGGTCTTCATTAATAATCTGTTTATATTTCATGTGATATCGATTTTTAAATGTGAATATTTACCAGCTGACACGGGGAGGCTGCAGGAACCATTCCCAGAGGGTTAGGTATCATGGTCTTCTGGATGTGCAGAAAACTTCCAGGGTTTGCTTTAGTCCTGTGCTCTTCCAGAAATCTGTTTTGTTTCTGCATTTGTAAAATGCCCACAAATAACCCACAAAACACATTTTTTCCCATGGCCTGGCAGCTCTAGGTCATTTTTTGGGGGCTGGGGGAGAGTGTTTCACCTTAGCTGCAGTAATGTGAGCTTGGGAAGCCACTGCTGCCCATGCTGGGGCTCGCTGGAGCCTGTTCACACTCCCAGCTCCACCCAGCAGGAGGCAAGGATCAATTATTCACTTCTGATTTCACTCCAGTTGTTTCCTGGAAATTAGGAAACTCAAAGCCAAACCAAACCCACAGAACTTCTCCAGAATGAAGGATCTAAATGAGAGCAGAAAGTGTGATTCTTGCCAACACTGGAAGAGGCACAAAGACCAACACCGGTGAAAAAAATTAATGAGTTCCCACCCCTGCAGTCCTTGTAGGTTGTAATTAGTCTAAAGCAGGATCATTAGCACTTGATGTCTCAGCAACCAGAGCCTCACTTTGTGCCCACATTTGCAAACACACATTCACTTCCCTCTGCTCCACCTGTGGAGTTTGTAGCATCAATGAATTGAAGTTGAGATGCAGCTCCTGAGATCAGCTGATGTCTAGTGAAATTTAACAAGAGTCTACTTCAAAGGAAAAGGCATTACATCTTTAATGCTTTTCTTTTCTGGCTTAAAGTCTGCTCCCTTTAGGTCTTTCTGCTTTCACTCTTGGTTCTGGTTTAAATGGAAGCCTCTGATACCTCTGCCAGCCCCAGCATGGATGTGCCTGTGGTCCCTGGTCCCTGCCTTGCTCCATGTCCCCGCTGCCCTCCCTGGTCCCCTTCCCCTCCATTTTTACACCAGGCACCTTCACTCCTGGCCACAATTCCCACATCCCAGCAAGAATGGGGCTCCAGGTGCCATCCTGGGTGCCCACATGTCCCAGTGCCCCACAGGGGTGTCTAAGCCATCCCTGCCACACATCAAGCAGAGTAATGTTAACCCAAGTCATATTTCAATTACTTTTTTTGGACCAATATTTTTTAACTTACACTTTATTTTCTCTCCCTTTCCCATGCTCTCCCTACACTTTAATTTCTTGCTCCACATTGTCTTCATCAACCTGAGCTGACACCTCTGCACCTTTATTTTGACATCAAACTGGGGTGTTAATAAAGCAGGACTGGAGTAGCTCTGACATTATCTTGACACAATGATATTTGCAGCTTTCCACTGGCATTTTTTTAACCATTCTTTTAACATTCAGGTACTGTCACCCTCCTCAGTTTGACATCACAATTGTAATGTCACCTCCACAGTGGCCTCTGCACTGACATTACCATCAAATTGGCTTTACAATCAGCTGAAATATCAAAGGGAAGGAAAGAGGCTGGCCCAGCTCCAGCAATCTGGGCTCAAGGCAAGTGAAGTCACTGCTGGAGAAAGGAATGGATGTGTTGGGTGGCTGCTGGAGTTACTGCAGGTATCAAGGGGAACCTGGTTGATAGGAAAGCAAACAAGTATTTGAGAGATATTGAATTAGAAAGAGAAAAAGGAAAAAAAAAGACACAAAAAACCTTACAACAAAAAAGCAAAACAACAACAACAAAAATGGAACCCACAAAAAACCCCCAACAACTCAGAACAGCTCAGGTTAATTAAAAATTCTTATAATAAAAGCTTAGAATAAAAATAACTATAATAAAAAAGTAATCAGATAGACTAGTTGGCTTATTTTATCATTTTATCTGCCACAGTTCTGGGCTCTCGCAGTTCTGGTGGACCTGGAGGCAGGTCCATGTCTGAGCTCCTGTGAGCCGCAGGCGTGGGGTGACAGAGCTCCAGGGCTATTATGCTGTTTAGGATCAGTCTGCACTCAGGCCCAGCACTACTATAAACACAGATGTTTTTATAACCTCGCTGAAAAGTTAATCATCCTATTAATGCCTATTTCTGGGCATGCTGCAAGTCAAGAGATCTCAGCCCCTGCACGGCGGCCGCAGCAGCTCCGGCGAGCGCCCGCCCGGCCGGGCGTGGGAATCCAAAACAACCCGGGTGGGACGGGGCCGAAAGCTGAGCTGTGCACAGGGAGCCTCCTGACACAGCCCAGCAGCTGCCTGAGGCCCGGGGCTGACATTTCAGGGCTCTCAGATGCGCCAGGATTTCGGGAGCCCTGGCGAATCCCCCGCCGCGCTCGGCCGGGAGCGCCGGTGCCGAGCGAGATGGACGAGAGCAAACCCCTGAAGGTGCGGCTGACGTTCTCCGTGATCCTGGTGGGCATCTCGCTGCTCTTCGCGGCCGTGGTCACCGACCACTGGGCCGTGCTCAGCCCCAGCCTGGAGGAAAACACCACCAGCTGTGAGGCGGCGCATTTCGGGCTCTGGAGACTCTGCACCAAGCGGATTTTCATGCAGGAGCCAGGTCCCAAAGAGAAGAGCTGTGGGCCCATCAGCCTGCCAGGAGGTACGTGAGCACCAGGATCACAGCAGGTTTTGCTTGGGAGGTTGGAGGACACAGCAAAAGAAAATAGGCTCCATTTCCCCGGTGGCAGAAGGAAAATGGGCACTGAGTTTGGGATGGGGTGCGTGGGGCCGTTTTCATGGGGGTGTGCAAGCACACCTCCATGAGTTGCCAATTCCTGCTGGGGCTGCTTTGCTGGGTTGCCTTGGTCTGTTTGTGACCATATTTGTGTCTCCCGTGCAGCAGCGATGGTGGTGGGGAGAAGGGGAGGAGGATTGGGCACGGTGGGAATCACAAAGGGAGATAGGGATGGAGGGAATCTTGCTGAACCCCAGCCAAGGGTCCTACAGGCATGTTGACAGCAGCAGGCAAGAGTGAGGATTTACGGGTCCACCAAACCCAGCTGGATCTTTAGGATTGCCAGATTCATAAAATCCCAGAGGAACAGCCATCCACGGTGGATTATCTCTGAGCTGTTCAATAACAGCCATTCCACAAGGCAGGGAGGGAAAGGGACCTGCAGGATGGTTTGTCAACTTCCAGACAAAAAAGAGTCATAAACAGAATTTGAATCAATTTCTCAAGGACTTAGGGAGCCTCCTCACCTCTCGCCAGAGGCACCTGCTCCCACACATGTCTCCACCTGCAGCTCAGTCGATGGGGAGGGCAGTGGGCACAGCAGCTTTCCGGGAAGGCTGCTCCATTCCGTGGTTAAAGGAGCTCATTATGTTTTTGCTGATTGCCAAGTCAGCAACATCCGCGCCGCTTGCACTAATACACTCCCTCTGTGACTGAGCCACGCTGCTTTTTTAGAAGGCTTATAGGGTACTGGATGCTTTCCAGAACAGAAATAACAGGATTGCCTTCATGTTAGACTCACTGCTTGAAATGAAATATATGTTAACACGTATTTGGAAATTTCCTGTGAAAAATCTTCCTGCTTGGGCTGACTGTATATTGCCTGTATTACTGCAATTCTTTATCTCTTTGGCCAAATTACATGTTGTGAGGAGAAGAGCTGAGCCTCAGCATGTGGATCTGCCTCTAACCAAACTTGGGAGTGTGTCATCCATATGCTTAATGTCTCTCAGGAAGGTACTTACGTGCCTAGAGACGTATTCCTCGCCGCACGCCTTCCCCCACGCACAGAGCACTCCCACTAAAGGAAAAACAATGGAAATTGGTGGATAAACAGCAAAACTGCACGACCGTGGGGTAAATATAAAGCTCATAAATATCCAGCTGTCTGCACAAAACAGATTCGCAGGCAGGGCACAGGAAAGCAGCCACTATCTTTGACAGACATCAGCATGTGCTCGCACAGACGTTGAATCACATCCCAGCGCCGCATTCCGCCAGGCACAGGGGAACTGGGAATTATGGAGGGGCTGGGCTGGCCCCCACACCAGAGCTGCTTCATCCAGTTTTTAAAAGATATTTGGGAATTCGGATGACAGCCTGCATCGTAATCACGTTCCAGAGGGTGAAATTCGCACCTCATTTATAACATAAATACCTTCATCCCTGTTTGAGCCGGGAAAGGATCAGAGCAAGGGGAGGGGAGAGGAGCCCCGGGGCCGGGGCTGCTGAGTGAGGCTGTGGCCGCACGGCTCCTGCTCGATTGATTTCACACTTCTGGGAAGGGATGTCGGCAGGGAAACACCAGGGTTGTGAAACCTGCAGCAGCCAAGAAAATGTGAATGAACAAACGCGCAGTAAAAGAGCAGATGCGGGCGCTGCTTTTCCTGAAAATCATGAGATATAACCAGACATTACTGCCAGGACTGGGAAAGAGGCATCAGAATTTATCACTGAATTAATAACCATTTACCAGTCGCTCCCTGTGGAGGAAATGGATGGCATGATTAACGTTATTTATTAGGTTTTGAGCTCAGCACAGTGCAGAGTGGGGAGGATGACTTGGCTCACAGTCCACAAAGCAGGGCTGTGATTTAGGCAGAGGTTTAAAATTTTACAGCACCCATCCGAGGGTGTTGACAAATTGAAAAGGGTTCAGCATCCTGCTGTAACAAATAAAAAGATCAGGGAGATGGTTGTTAAAACCAGGCAAATTCAGATTAATACTGAGACATTTTTAACTGTGGTCAGTGGGCACTGGGGCATTTTACTACCAGCTGTAAAGGCAGTTCAGTGTCACTGCCTGTAACTCTGGTGCTGGTGCTGTGTTGCAAAGTGGCTCCTGTGATTTGGGCAGCAGCAGGGGACTTCAACAGCTTAAACGGGTCCTTGTGAATGCAGGAACCTGAGCACAGGCAACTGGAGAAGTGCTGGAGCAACTGGGCTGTCAGCAGGGCTCTGTTCCCTGCTACAGGAGACTCACCCTGCGAGACAGGTGTGAAATGAAGCTGCTTGGAGAGACCACCTCCAAAGCTCTGTGTGTGTGTGTGTGTCAAAGGCCTTGTTGGCCAGGTCAGAGCCCAAGGCCTGGCCCCTCCATGGCTCAGCCCTCACCTTAACACATCCTCTAAGGGCCTGTCCCCCAAGCTCAGCACAAGTGGAAACCCCACACTAAAACCCAGGATTTTCCAACAATCCACCCTGCCACAAACTCCCCATGCTCTGCCCATCTCAGGTTCCAGAGCAAGGTGGGCTCCAGCCCTTTCCCAGCCTGTCACTCCAGGGCACAGCTGCCACCCAAAACTCTGCATGGCCTGAACATCTCATGGTCTTTCCAGCCTTTCTTTCCCTCACAGTCTCCAAGTTGCAGCTCCCCAAGGTTCAACCACAGTTCAGTGGGATTGCACTTCTCCTGCATCACTTCATCCAGGAGGGATGGATCTGAGGGGCAGGGAGCAGCAAGGCTGTGAGGGGTGAGGACACTGTGATAAACCACACCACAACCCTGAAGTTTGTGTGACCACAGAGTCCTGGACTGTCCCCATCAGCACCCTGGGGTGACCTCGTGGCACAGATGATGGAATTGGGGTGGAGAGAAAGGAAGATTGCCACACAGTGTCCATCCATTATCAACCCCAGTGGAAATCCTGTCTGATATGTAAACATGCTGTGACATAAATGGGCTTTTCTCTTATTCTTGGTGGCACCAGAGTCATTGCAGAGCCTCAGCTCTGATGAATACCAGACTTGTTGGAACAGATATCCCCAGCTCAACAGAGCATGGCAGCACCTTCAAACTGAAAACAATTCAGCATTTCACCAAAACAGATCTAGCTCCATTTTCCCACAGCAAGTGCATTTTCCAAAACCATCAACCCACTTGTGTGATGCCCCTTTTATCATACACTGGCAGAGCTTTGCTGAGGGCCATAAGGGACAGAGGCAGCTCCATCTCCTGCAGACAAGTCCACCTCTGAAAGGTCTATGAGGATGGAGGGTGGGCTGGGCTGGTTTGGCTCCCCTGCCGTGGACACAGAGCTGTGCTGTGCTCACACCACACCAAGGCTGGATGGCTTCACCTTTGTATGCACACCTGGGGGTTCCTTTGAGTTCAGGCTTTTTAGAGAATTAATGAAAAGCTAAACCAAACAATCCCAAAATAAAGTGTCCCAGACACAGTGCTCAGCCTCTGCCACCACTGAGTTGCTGGTGGAGGTACACAACCACTGCTTTGAGGCTCAAATTTCACAATTAGAGTCACAGAGGGCTGAGTTCAAATGTATTTCTTCCAGTCATTTGCAAGGATAATAAAGAACAGGTCAGGAGATTCCAGAGCTAAACATTAACCTTGTCTCCAGCAAGGAGAATCTGCAGATGAAATAAAAGTCAGCTTATGAACTTAAGTAGATAAGAGTGTCTCCAAGGAATCTTCCCCTAACAGGCCCAAAAACGCTGCTTTGCAATTACCCATCTCCTGGGAGAGGGAAAATAAATCCTCCCTGAGTCACTAACTCCAGCAGCCACCATTTACATGACAGAAAAAACCCACAAGAACCAACAGGTAGAGCACAGGGATCTTCTGCCAGAGCAATTAATGCTGTAAGGAGCCACTGAAATACTCCCAGGCAGAAACCCCCAGCAGTCCCTGAGTGTCCTGCACCCAGCCTGGCTCAGGCTTCACCCTGTGCTTGTCCCAGCCTGGATGGGGACAGGGCCACAGCTTCTCCCAGGCTTCCCCCCAGCATCTTCTGGAAGCTGGTGCTAACTTGGTTATTTAACAGAAGAGATGCCCCTAAGGGAAGGGGCCCCATTTTTGTGTTTCAGGCAGCCTGGGCTCTGTTTGTTGGGCCACTGGGAGCCACTGGGAGCCCCTGGGTGCTGCAGGGGAGCTGGGCAGGTGCTCAGTGTGTCCATCCCCCCAGCTCAGCTCAGCCCAGCCCAGCCCAGCCCAGTCCAGTCCAGCCCAGCCCAGCCCAGCTCAGCCCAACCCAGCTCCGCCCTGCTCAGCCCAGCCCTGCTCAGTCCAGCCCAGCCCATCCCATCCCACCCCAGCCCAGCTCAGTCCAGCCCAGCCCAGCTCAGCCCAGCCCAGCTCAGCCCAGCCTAACCCAGCTCCAGTCTGCTCAGCCCAGCCCAGCCCATCCCAGCCCAGCCCATCCCATCCCATCCCATCCCAGCCCAGCCCAGCCCAGCCCAGCCCAGCCCAGCTCAGCCCATCCCAGCCCAGCCCAGCCCATCCCAGCCCAGCCCATCCCAGCCCTGCTCAGCCCAGCCCAGCCCATCCCAGCCCATCCCATCCCATCCCAGCCCATCCCATCCCATCCCACCCCAGCCCAGCTCAGCCCATCCCAGCCCATCCCATCCCATCCCAGCCCAGCCCATCCCATCCCATCCCATCCCATCCCATCCCAGCCCAGCCCAGCCCAGCCCAGCCCAGCCCATCCCAGCCCAGCCCCTGGCCAGCCCAGCAGGACGGCACAGTCGGGGCTGGCGCCTCTCTGTGTGTCCCCACCAGTGCACCCTTCCAGCCAAATTCCGGGCCAGCAACTGTTCTCGCAGCCCCACACCCCTGCAAAGCCTCGGTTAAATCAGTTATAAATAGCAGGAACAGCCTCCACCCTTCCCTGCCGCTGCCAAGGCCCCGGGTCAGCAGCTCCTCAGCAGAGCCTCCCCATCCCGCCGGGGCCCAGGCTGGAAGCTCCAGTGCCAGCATTGCTCCCCTCACTGACCCTCACCAGGCTGAGGAGCAGAAAGGATCGTGGCCATTGAGAGAGTTAACAACTTCCCTCATCCTATACCCCCTGCCCCACAGTCCTGATCCCTGCTTGCTTCCTGACCCCCCTACAAACACCCCATACCTGCTGCTGTGCTCATGGGAAGTGCAGACACAGGAACTTCATAAAGCTCCCTCTATGTAACTCTGCTGTCCTATCAAATTAACTTAACAGGCTGCTCTGATGGGATCAAACTTGGATAATGCTGCTCTGATGGGATCAAACTTAGATAATGCCTGCCATGAGAGCCTCTCTGCCCTTGGCTCACACAGCGTTCTCTTCTCTGGGCAACTGCTTGGGCTTCAAAAAGCTTTGGTCTTTTTTGCTTTGTTCTTTTTTTACTGACGGCCAAAAAAAAAGCTCTTAGCATCCCTATTTTAGTCAAACAGCATGTGCTTTGCTGCATTGCAGCAGCCTCATCTTTGGGACCCCCAGATCAGCAAACCCCCTGCCACACAGGGCTCTGTGAGCTGCAGGAGGGAAGAGCAGAAGGGAAGGGTGGGCGAGGACCCTCCATCCTCCCTGCCTGCACTCCAAGGTCACCACACCCCCACGGGCTGGGTTGGAGCTGCCAGCTCAGCTGTGGGCACAGCAGATCCCATCCCCAGGAAATGCTGCAGCTCTGAGAGGCAGAAACGTGCGATGGCCAAAGACAGAATGGGAAAAATCATCTGTAATTCATATTTTAAGCAGGAGAGCAATCAGCTCTGAGAGGGATACAAAAGGTATCAGAGGGGCTTCAGCCTTGTCCGTGCTGGAGTCTGGTGTCCTCATCTGCTCCCAAGGAAATCAGATCCAGCCCCAGTTCCTCAGTATCACCAAGGGTAGGGAGCCTCCAAACCACTGCAAGCTTGGTACATCAATAAAAAGCTAATTCAGTCTTACTACATTTTATCACAGGCTTCCAAGAGCACAAAATTGAATTTTCTTTTCTCTTTCAGACCACAACTGCTCCTACTTCAAGCACTTCACTCCAGGAGAGACCTCAGAGATATTTGAAGTAACCACCCAGAAAGGTAAGAATGATTCCAAAAGATTATTTTCCTAATGTTGTATGAAGTGATGGGCACACAAGATCTAATGGAAAGGGGTCCCCAAAATGAGGGTTCGGCTCTGGTTCCACTGAAAGCAGCAGAATTTCTAACAGGCACCATCAGCTGGTAAAAATGTGGAAAATACCCTGGACAAGGTCAAATCTCAGCTTCCTGGGGACAATTATTTTTATATATGATCACACCCATAAACATGATTTTACATAAGTTGTCCCACAAATAGATAACAATGTCAATACCCAGAAAAACTGCAAAAAGACCTAAAGCATAAAAATGACTTTACAACATTGGCACTATCTGTGACACTCAGCCTTTGCCATTGAAGGGGAAGATATTAATAAAACCTAAATGAATAAATCATACCCCAAGCAGAGTCTTGACCCTGAAAAGAAGTGCAGAGGCTCTCTGAAGACCATTAGGAATTTTATGGTTCATATTGATTTTATATGAAAGTCATGTAAAAAATAGAGCGATCGATGAATGGAAGGAACAGGGATCCTGCAAAGACATGAACTGTCAGTGTTTATAGCAAAATTGTCTTCCATGGACAAATTTCACATATTTAATAAGTCCAAATATTTTCAGGGCTCTCCTAACGTGCTCCTATCTCTTTCTCAGCCTCTCTTTGGGGACAAACTCCTTCACAGTTTGCAACACAACATATTTACTGTGGGGAATGGGAGCCATTGGATACATTGCATGTATTAATCTGCTTTGCTTCTAGTGGAAATTGGAATGGTGGAAAACCCTGAAGATAGGTTCCCTAAAAAAGCAGCTTCCCAAGACAGGAAAGACAGGAATTTTAACTAGGTAGAAAAGTATATATCTGAGTCACCTGCTTTTGCTCAGTTATCTGCTATCTGATCCAGCCACCTGATCTTCAAAATGCACCCAATGCCTTCAGGGCAATGCAGAAAAAAATCAGGAAGAATTTCTTCTTCAGGGAAAAAAAAAAAGTCACAAAGAACTTCTTTTCTTTGGGGCAAAAAGAAAATCTTAAGCCCAGCAAAAGATTTTACAATGAAATGAACACTTCCAGGCAGTTCCAGCACAGAGAAAAGAGAAACATTTAGAAAATGATAATAAAACAGTGATATGAAAAGCAGTGAGAACAAAGAGTAATCTGCTGTTCCCCTTTGCAGAAATAGCTCATTTGGATGGGAGCTAATTAGTAACAGGCAAAAAAATTCTTCATGATTTTGCCTGGGAGATATTTTATTTAAATGGCTTGAAAGGCAAATATCATCAGGCACTGCGATGTTCATGCATGGCTACATGTGTTAAACATTAAACTAATCTGAAAACGAACACAATATGCAAATGAAGGTTTGAATGACTCAATTAACAACTCTCCCCCTCCACCCAGGCACTGAGCAGTGCTGGGCTGGGGAGAGTGTCCAGCACATGGCTAACAAAAACCAGGACTTTTGGGGAGGCTTTAATCCCATGTCCTCAAGAAGCTGGGTTTGTACCGAGCTGGGAATCTCTGTTGTAAAGGCAAAGGAATAAAAATGAGCTGTGCAAACACTTCACCCCTGGCCTGCTGTGCCCACTCAGGTGCTGAGCCCACCGGGCACTGGGACAGCACCAGGCAATGCAGGGGTGAGGGCTCTGCAGAAAGCACAGAATAAAAGCAGAAAGAGCTATTCTAGCTATTGAACCAGTCTATTTCCTCTGGGAGCAGAGTGTGGGGTGATGGCAGGGACCAGAGCATGGAGCTCAGCAAGGCTTTGACAAGAACATTTCCATGGCAGAGCCAAAGCAGCTCCAGCAGCCCCAGACGGGTGGGCTGGTGAGCAAAGGTGCCCTGGGCTATCTTGGGGGATGTTCAGAAAGTGTTTTCCCTTCCTGCTCTGCTTTTATACCTGTTTTTTCTTTTATACTCTGCTTTTTTCACATTCCAAAGATACATGGCCAATACTTGTCCCCCTTATCACTTGAAGGAAATAATCCACCAAAGCCAGGCAGCAGGGGTGCACGTATTTCTCAGAGTGAGCTACTGTAACATCCCCACAGCTGATGGCAGCAGGCTCAAAATGTGCACTATGTCATTTTTGGTGTTTTTTTCCCTTTGGCAGAATACAGCATCTCAGCTGCAGCCATTGCCATCTTCAGTGTTGGCTTTGCCATCATTGGGACGATCTGTGTGCTCCTGTCCTTCAGGAAGAAGAGGGATTATCTGCTGAAGCCAGCATCCATGTTCTACACCTTTGCAGGTACGGGGAGACCTGCTCACATTTCTCTGCTTGGTTCATAGGAAAACACAGAGAAACTTAAGATAGATCCTGAGGGGACAGAGACACTTCTAAAAATGCCCTGAAGGCATTTTCTTCCTGGCCACAGACCCTGTGTGGTGTGAGAATGTCCTGTTCAGCAGCTGGTCTGTGTTCTCTGCAACCCCCTTTAAAAGTATATTCACTCCCTTCAAGTATATTCACTGTCTGTCCCAGTCTGAACCAGGGACACACAATATTCTATCTCATTTATTAAAATTCAAACCAACAAAAGAGCTGATCCAGGCCCAAAATACACAACTGTGTCCCAAACACATGAAGACTGCACTTGTACATGAGCCAGGAATATTTGACATGCCACGATGAGTGAAAGACAGAGGTGCAAATTGTCACCTCAATATAAAATCTTCCTCAACCTCTGAAAAAGCTCCTCAGGGAATGCAATTATTCCTCCCCCACTTTGAATTTCCCATCCAAGCCTGCCTAAAAGATCACACTCAACAAGTCAGTGGCTGACCTCAGTTATGGCAGAGCTCCTGGCAGCTCTGAGCACTGGTTCCTTCAAACACTGAAGTCAGTGACTCACCTGTGAATCTCACTGCAGCTCCTGTATGCAAAACAACAGATGAGGCGGTTAATTAAGGATGAAAAATTGACAGCTGGTTATTCAACCCACTGCTCCTCTCTTCCTTCAGGTCTCTGCATCATCATCTCTGTAGAAGTCATGAGACAATCCGTGAAGAGGATGATTGACAGCAAGGAGACAGCCTGGATCAAGTACAGTTACTCCTGGTCCTTCGCCTGTGCCTGCGCCGCCTTCGTGCTGCTCTTCGTCTGCGGCATCGCCCTCCTCCTCATCGCGCTGCCCCGCTTCCCCCAGAACCCCTGGGAGACCTGCATGGATGCAGAACCCGAGCACTGATGGTCCCTGCACCCATGAAAAATATCCAGAAAGTGTTCTGAAAATATTTGTATTTTTTAAAATGTCTGGGTCTCACTACACAATGTGCTCTCCACCAAGTGAGTCATTACTGAACCAAGACATGTTCGATTGCAATTGTTGCTTTTTTTTCTTTTCCTCTCTTTTTTTTCCCTTTCTTTTTTCTCTCTTTTTTGATTCTTTTTTTTCTTTTTCTTTTTTTAAGAAAGCAGAAAGACCACTTAAGACCATCATGGGTGTGTGAGAAAGGCACTGCTCTGTGCCAATTTGGGGCTGCCCTGTGCTGATGCAGTTGAGGGGAAATGTGTGACTGAGACAGCTTGGGCCACAGAGGAGACAGCTTTGTTATGGAGAAGATGTTTGGTGTAGTTGGGCATAGATCCATGAGGGATATCAGGCTTTTATACCTTACTTGGTCAGAGAGAGACACTGTGGGGAGCCAATGTCCCCATTTATGCCACACTCCTTCCCTCAGAAGTGTTAGCTTGTTCCCCCAGGGTAACTTGGAGATCCTTTTGCTTTCTATTAAAACGTTAACATTTGATAAAAAACAAAACAGAACTTTGCATAGCATTGGGATTAAAATCTCCCCTCCAAATTTACACCCTGCAGTTCCATTCTTTTAAATCAACTGTAAAACCCACAAAACAGAGTCTTGTGTTCTGCTTAAACTTCAGTGGTGAAGCCAAGAAGTACTGAATATGAAGAGTGATATTTTCCTTTAATAAAAAGCATAATCTTCTGGTAGCATGATTTTCTGGAGAATTATTTTGATGGATGAATCACTTGGCCCATCAGATTCTGCCAGGTCTGGGTGCTGTGCTGGGTGCTGTTTGCTGCATGGAGCTCTCGTTTCTTCCCCGTGAATGAGCTTTTTAAAAGCGCCCTGCTTTGCTCCCCGCACATGTGTACACAAAGCTCCCTCTCAGGAAAAATCCCTCAGAACAGCTGCTGGGAGGGAAAGGATTCTGCCCGGAGGAGCCGGGAGCGGCAGCCCTGAAGGGCCCCGCCGGTGCCTCGGGAGCTGCTGCTGCTGCTGCAGAATCAGAGCCCGGGCAGTGCTGGGGATGCTGCGGGCGCTGCTTTGCTGTGAGACCTGCAGGGCTCTGCCACAGCTGCCTGAAGCTTTGGGGCTGGGGGACCCCAGTCCAACCATCAGCAGCACTGGGGGTACCCCAGCCCCACACCCTCACCCAGCCCCTCCAGCCAAGCCCTTTTCTCCCTCACGGTCCCCCAGCACCAAGAGGTGGGGTGTTTCTTCTTTGCTTCCTTTTTTTTTTACAGTTCAATTTTCAGAATCTGTTCAGCATTTTCCCCCCAAGCAGTAAAAAGTACGTGGCTTACAGTGTGCTCTTTTTACCTGGCAGTTTAAAAATGAGGAGAAAGGGGAACTGAAGTGCTCTTCCCTCTGTGTTTAGCTGTCCATAATCTTAAAAAAAAAAAACAGAATTCCTAATAGAAAAATCTCTGGTCAATTTGAAGAAGTCTGAAATCATGGCATGTTCAACATGTGGAGAAATTCCCCAGCAATCCTGTGCTGGCTGGAGGGGCTGCCCTCAGCCCCACCACTGGGGTGGGCTCAGCCCCAGCAGCCCCAGCCAGACTCAGGCTCATCTCCATTTTCCCCATCAGCAGAGTGGCAGCAGGAACAGAAGCCTTTTGTGAAATTGCATTAATGTTTTCCAAGCTCTTTGAAGTTGAAAAGCACTACAAATAACACATATATTATAAAGTTTTGGGATAAAGCACTCACTGGTGCTCAGATCTGTGTGAGCTGAAGAGCTCTGCCTGTCTCTCATCATGAGAGACAACTGCAAGTCTTCACGTTGTCACAGAACCACTCTGAAATGCAAAATGGTCTTGAAATCTTATTTTTGGGTACAGAGCTGACATCCTGAATTTGCATTTTCATTGTTCAGGAAAACAGAGGCTAGTTCCTAGGAAGAACCTTTACATGCAACAACAGAAAGGAAAGTGGTCAGTGAAATCACCATGGTGGCTGACCTTGGGTTGGGACATCCAAACCACACAGCAAAGATTAATCCAAGCAGAGCAGCTGGCAGGAACAACAGCCTTCCCAGCTCAGCCATCATCATCATCATCCTCATCATCACCTCAGACATGCCATGGGTTTGGGGACAGGGTCTGGGTTCCTCACCCCACACAGAGCAGTGGCAGGTGCTGTGTCCCAGGGAAGCCCTTCACTCATCCACACCTTTTCTGAATTGCCACCCCTTTCCTTCAATACCTCTTCTGGGATAAAGCAATTTCTAGGTGGGTTCTCATCCTGATGGGCCAACTTTTTACCCAGCCAAGATGCCACTCAGTCCCCTTCCTGATATTCAAGAGTAAGATGTGCACATTTCAGAGAAAAATACCCTGGAAGGTCTCACCCATCTCCTGATCTGCCTCATACAAGCCCCAGGGAGGGCAGTGGAAAGATTCCTGGTAAGTGCTGGGCTTTGGCCTGGATCCCAGCCTCTCTGGGATCACTTTACTCATGAGGCAGAGAAAACACACAGCTCATGGCATCGAGATCCTACACCCACAGCCAGAGCTCAGGCAGCTCAGCCAGATGCCTCCTAAAGCCCTTAAGACTCACTGAGTTTTATTCTCTTTCTGCTCCAGGCTAAGGCTTTGGGATCATTCCCTGCTCTGTATGGTCCCTGCTAGACTGAGAAGCACATGGATAACTTCATTTTCTTCTTCCAGATATTAAGAACTGCTGAAGGGGGACCCATCCATTAAATCAGTCATTGGTATTCACGGTGGGAAGGGCTCTGCTCCTGCAGCAGGTTTGTTCTGCCAGAGCTGATAATGTGTTTTAAGAGAGTTAATAAAAGTAATTGGCCTTCATAAAGGAAAAGGAATATAATGTTGGAGGGGGAGCTGTAACCAGTTTCAGTTTTCATTCTCTCAGCTGAGCAAACAGCAGGGAAGAGCCACCAGAACCTCAGGGATGTACCATGAAAATGTGAAGGAAATGTCCTCACCAGCAGGGAGTCACCAGAGCCAAAGAGGGATGGGAACCCAGCTGATACACATCCAACAGGAGCACTCCTGGGTTTGGGACACAGCCAAAGAACCAGGTGGGAAACAGGCACCAGAGAGAGAGAGGCAAATCACTTTGCAGAACAAGGAACAACCACCAGCCACCACAAAATACTGAGCGTTGGCCGTGCCACTACCAGAGCCAGGGATACCTCCAGGGCAGCTGCCACTCCCTAATCCAAGGGAGTGCCTGTCCCTTCTCAGAGAGCCCCAGAGAGGTGCCCCAGGGCACTGCCCAAGCCACAGTGCTGAGATCTGGGCTGCTCCAGTCTGCCAAAGCCCAAGTGTTAAATCACAACAGAAGACGTGAAGGTTTTTGTTTATGTAAGATTTGCTGTGAGGCGTGGAGAGAATCTGCTTCCCTTGTTTTTAAATGCTGTGCTGTGTGAATTTAATGTGCAGAAAAGGTGTCAGACAAGCAACCCTGAAGAAGAAAACTGCCTGTTTAGCAGCAAGCTGAGCTCTTGAACACCCTTCATCTGCAACGAGGTTCTGCAGGCACAGCCCAGCACCGGCGGGTGGGGGGAGAAGAGCTCAGCACACAAGGCAGCACAGATGGGTGCATGAGAGAGGATTTCACCCAGAAATCCTGGCACACACCTCTATTTCTCCTTTAGTCCAAACCTGGAAAGAGCCAGCACATGCAGGATGCTCAGGTGTTTGATCACCCTGATCAAACTGTTTGCAAAGCCACAGGAATTTACTTTGTTTTTTCACTGACGCCTTTCCACTCAGTGACTTCCTTGCAGCCCTCACCTTTTTCTCCTCACTCTGACAGCTGTGGGAATGATTCCCAGGAAGCCCCAGAGATCTGGGAATTGCCCCCTCCAAGGAGACCCCGGCCCTGCTGCAGAAGGACACTTTCTCACCTGGGCCTGCCAGCTCTTGAGAAGCACACCTGAAACAGGAGTGTCAGAGGTTTGCAGCACTGCCAGCCCTGGGGAGGACCTGGGGATTCACAGGGAGCCCCTGGGCTCTGTCCAGAGCTGCAGCTGGGCAGTCACATGCCAGGAACCTGACCACAGTCAGAAACTGTTAGAGAATAAAGCTCAGCCTAAACTTAATTTAAAACGAGCTTTCTCTGCCCACAGTGGGACAGTGCCCCTTGGAACACTGCATTACTTTATGACTTAACTACAGGAGCATCAGGCTGCTCTGTACCATAAAACACACACAGCAGTGGGACCTGCTCTAAAAGCATCCATTCCAATTATTTCCCCTTTCCATTGTCACCAAGGGACAAAAAAAGAGCGTCACAACTTTGTTTTGACTGAAGTAGAGGATGAGATTGTCGTTGCTTTGTGACACTTGATCGATGCTCGGGCTCCACTGAAGCTATTGAACATAAATTCAAGGCATGCAGACATCACACATGCCCACTCTGCATCAGACACTGAGCTGCTTTGCTGCTTTCTTCAAAGGAATGCAGAGCAGGGAATAAACTCAGATTTCTGGACTATTTTCTACGTAACAGAAGCAGCAGCACAATTCTGCTTGGCAAGGCTGCACCCCAGGCTGTGGCTCAGCTTCATGCCCAGTATCACCAGTCTCACTGGGAGCACCTCAGTGGCTTTACAGCTGGTCTTGTTGAGGTATGTACCCTCCAGCAGGAAGCCAAGTCTTCTGGAAAAGGGACTGACAACATCTTTTAACCAGTCTTGGATAATTCATATCACTGAGCGTTCTGTAATTTGTCAGAAGCATCTATTAATCCTTAATGAGGTAAAAACTCCTCAACATTTCTCAGCTAAAGTTGCCAAAAAACCCCCACACCGAACTGACATTTCCATTGCTGCTGCTGCTGCAAATCCTTTTACTCCTCTTGAATGAAAGAAAAAAACAAATTTAGAAGGATTCAGCCCTTGCTCCCTGACACAGCCAGCAAGAAGAGACTGGCACAAGTATTGCTACACCAACAGAAATAGCCCATC